TTTCCAATCTAACCCTTTTCACAAGCCGAAATTTAGACGGTGCTTGATTGTTCTGAACGTTGAACTTTTTCAGTTGTAAAACCCATTGTAAGTGTAGCCCATAAATATAACTATTACATCAGGCTAAAATGGGTCCATTTTTTTCCTCAGTCAGTCTCTTTTCTTAATTGCATGCAACCTAAACAGTGAAGGTTAACGGTTTTATTCCAATCAGATTTACAATTTACGCAGTTCAAGGAGTTGGAATCTCACCACATTATATTCAGACGATAATATGTAATCTGCTTGTTGCCATAAACAGTAGTGTGAATTTCATTTATATGGAATTATCAGTTCTACCAAGTAGCTAACCAGATATCGAGGGGGGGGTTGAACTGGGTACATCACTGAAGAGCTCGGTGTCAAACGAACGAAGTAGTCGTCTGGTGTTTAGACCACTCCAGCTAGCAGCAGGTACAACTAGTCATCCCAATCAATCAGTAATATCTGATTTCACTACAACTTTAACATACTTTAGTTCATTGGGAATAACATGTGGAACAATAATTAAAAATGATGAATCAAAGTGCTAATTTAGTAAAATAAAGAAGTATTACCATTATTTATCACTATTATTGTTCCCTTGGATTTCTATTCAGGTCCCATATTAGGGATGGCCTGGCGCGTGACGTCACCAAACAGTCCTCTCAGCAAGTCTCCTATCTGTCTCTATTTTCGTCTACATATTTGTTGGGCAATAGTTTTTTTGATTGGTTCGTTCTCAGACTTCCTTGTTGCCAATTCTTCGCCATCCAGCCATCTGATCTTCAATATGGAGCCATGAAAAGTAGTTGTAGAAATGCTCTTCGCGAGAGGCATGTCAAATCTCTGAACCATTTAGAAGAACTGACTTGACAGTGGTTTTGAAAATCTGAATTTTGTCCTTTATGTTGTGGAGTGCAAAAGATTTCCAAATTCATTTCAGAGTGATGAATGTGTATGTGTGTGTGTGTCTTGCCTTTCAAATGTTGACTTCGACATTCTCATTTCTGACAACTTTAGTTGAAATGACGCTTCCTAGATAAGTGAAGGAAGTGACCACATTCAAACTTATTCCCTTGACAGGGATTGTTGCTGCTGGTTGGGTAATTTTCATCACCTCCATCGTGTTCATGTTCACTTGAAGTCCCGTCTTTTCTGCTTCCTCTCCTAACTTGTTAGTTCTCACCTGTAAGTTTTGGAATTTTTATGACATGAAATATAGACCTAGACCGTCCGCGAAGTCAAGATCTTCTGTAGTCTTCTTCTCGGCTGTGTATGTCTTGTCCTACTACCCTTCCCCGCAGTTTTTTCTCATAATCCAGTCCATCCCAATCAGCAGCAATATCATCGTTGATTATAGTAGTCAGCCTTGTCTTACTTCTGTCTTCAATTCAAAGGCTTCGGTGAGTTTTCTGTCGCTGATCCCCCTACATGTGACATTGTCATATAGAGCCCAGGGTTGAATGAGGTTGATGAAGATATGGAGCACTCCGTGGTGTTGAAGTAGAGTTCCCAAACCACTTCGCAGTCAACTGCTATTCTATGCTCTGCTTGACGATGATGCGTACAGTTGCAATTTGATCCGCATGTGATTTGCTTCTCCTGAATGTAGCTTGTCCCATTGGGCGGAGTTCTGCATCCAGTGCATCTTTTGCTCTTCCCAGGATGACTCAACTTAGTATTTTGATTGGCGTGTAAAACAGCATTATATTCCACACCAGCTCTTATAGAGAGGCCTAAGTCACCCTTCTTTAGTAGGAAATATAAAAGTATTACTGTAGTTATATATGTAGTGTAATCGAAGTTTCTTAAATAAATGCAAAACATACGGGAAAGTCTACGAATAAAAGGATGTAAATCTCTGACCAGCATCATCATGAGACACATGTAGGCATCTAGAATTCCTTCAACATAATAAGTGAACAGGCATGCTTAAGTCTCTTGTATCTCACAGAGACCATCGATATCACAACGGTTAAAATCTGACCTGTGTATTGATTCAAGAAAAAGCTGTTGCAAGTCTTCGTCAACCTTTCCAACTCGTCTTTTAGCCTTATTTGACTCTTATAAAGTTGTAAAATGTTAAATTTCTTTTCTGGCCAACTTAGTTCAACCATCATTTATTAAATGCTATGCTTCATATGTTCTCTTTTTCTAATTAAATGAGCTTTACTCACAATTAAACACTTTCATACTTCATTTGTTTATAAGCAGTTTTTCAATGTGACTTACGTTACCTTATAATTTATGTTTCTCAGTATCTTGTTGCTACCATTTCTCCCCCAATCGGAGAAACGTCTATCACACTACTGCAGCAGTATTTTTGTAATTTGCTAACTTTCATTATTCGAATTGTATGCAGTTGATAAGATACTTACGAAACGAAATACAGGGATCCATTTTATCCTAGTCCATATGTTGTTGTTGTTGTTGTTATTGCTTTGTTCAAATCCATTAACAAGGGAATTCGTGTATCAGGCAATTATTAGTCAAACTGATAATAGGATTTGAAAATAGGGCTGACTCTCTGTCATTCCAACTTCTTTTCTACCAAATAATGCATTAAATAAGTAGTGTGTTTTGTGTTATTTCAACTCTTAAGAAAGAAGAACCCAAAAATAAGTCGAACACTTTGTGATTCAGTGGCGGAAAACTCAACAACCGCGAACATGGTGGGAGGCTCGATTCCTGATTGATATACTCGCAAACCTTGATTAGCCAGCAGTAGCCGGGTGAGGAAGGGAGGTCGGGTATGTGGCTAGCAAATCCTCCCCCCCCCCCACCCCCGTAAAAAGTGAACACCAATGCTACTCAAACTTCAAAGGTCAAGCTTTGATGTCCTATGTTCCACACAGAATGCAAAGGGATTAAATCAATAATAATATTATTTGTAGAAATCTTATTTCTTACAGAAAATGACCGCAGTTCGAGAAAACCTTTATTGCAGAGGGGTACTGTTTTCATTGAAGTCGTCTGACTATATACGGTGATGCTTACTTCTCCTGTAGAGGTTACTCCTTTCACTTATCTAGGAGGCATAGTTTCAACCACAGGCGAAACAGATGAAGACGTTAAAGCCCCAGCCAGAATTGGAAAGGCAAGGGGTACACTATCATCAGTCTGAAATGAATTTGGAAATCTTCTACACTCTGTGACATAAAGAACAGAATTCAGATTTTCAACACCAATGTTAAGTCAGTCACTGCCTGTATAATGATCAGAAAGTTGTCACACCCGTCACGAAGAGCATTTCCAACCAATCGGCTTCAGACTTCCATCAACAGCTGCCTTCGCTGTCTATTGAAGATCAAATGGCCGGCCGGTTAGAAGGAATTATCAACAAGAAACGATGGGAAAAAACTAACGACAAGCCTATCGCCCAATAAATATGCTGAAGAAAATTGGGATGGATCGGGCACACACTGAGGATACCATCGTATGACATCTCGAGCCAGACCATCTCTTTAATGGAACCCGAATTGGAAACGGCGAGTTGGGTGTGACTCCGAGGGCGACTTGGAAGAGATTAGAGACTATGAACAACCTTGATCCCAGCTAAAGAGAATGTTTCAGAATACAACAAAGTGGAGACGTGGTGCTGAAGCTCTATTTTCCACCTATAACCCAAACGATTAATAATAATAATAATACTTCTCCTGCATAGTTCCTATAATCGAATGACATGGATGACTCCGACCTTTCTCCTAAATGTCCCAATTTTGATGACATTTCTGTCGGTATAATGACTAGTTTACTGTTACCACAATAAGTTATCACCCCCTGAAATCTGTCTCTCTCTCTCTCTCTCTCTCTGTAGTGTTATGTGAATTTTTGATCCAATCATTAGTATCTTTGATATACGGCCCTGTAGTACAAACAGACTTTTTTTCTGACATCCAAAGTGTAATTTTTACGCTAAATTTAATGAACCCAGTATTGTTTTAGTCATTTAAAAATGACTACTACCTTCTCTACTATAGTGTGGAAAAGTTGTCAGAATTGCACGTATATACGAAACAAAACAAATTTACCATTGTTTTTCCGTCCACACGTTATATTTTCCGCCTTCTATCAACTATTGCTTTGTGACTCACTCTCTAATGGTCACAAATATGTTGATGTTGGGCTATCCGAATAATTCTTTATAGTCATGGTTGACTAATTTTATGCTTACAGTGTGTGTGTGTGTGTGTGTGACATTGGATGTTAATATCGCTGTTTTACTTTTGTGTACTATCTCTACGCGTATTTCATTCTCTTTTTGAGAGTGCGTCTGCCCGGGAATCGAACCATGACCTTCCACATGATTGACGAACTTTTTTTGAACTCCTTTACGTTTCGAGTGAAACAAACATTGGGCTTCATTCAAGCTTTTTGTGCTTTAAAGTTTCAGTTTTATTTTTACGAGGTGTGGGGATTGCTAACCTCATGCCCAACCTTCCCTCTTTACCGGCCTTACCTACCGACTTAGGGAGAGGTGAAGGAGTAGTGTGTTTCGGCCGAAAATTGAATCCCGGACGATGTTCGTGGTTGGCAAGCACTCTGTCGCTGAACAAACAATGTACTCTGATTGGCAAATTATGATTCATAAAAAAATTACTCATCAAATTACGGTTAGTAGAATTATTGTGGCTTTTGACGGTTCAGGGGCGGAATACTTGCCAACTACACACGAGGTTCGGGGTTGAACCCCCCATTTATCAGAAGTATATACATAAATATATAAAGAGATGTTAATCGGCATAATACAACAAATAGCAGGGAGATAGATTTGATGTCAGAGAAAGCAAATGATGCAGAGTTGTGGAAATACATGAGAGGTCGTAAATTGCCCCGCTGTGCCCCTCCTAGATCATGTGCATGTATAACGAAAGTTCCGGTACTAGTCAGTTTTTTCTTTATAAAATAACCACATGATTTTTAGTAGTGATCACGTGTATTTTTTATTTGTTTTTTTTTACATCCTTATTTTTCTTCAGGAAATCGATTTCTGCCGAAAACTATCAGTTCGAATTTTGGGTATCGTGGAGAATATGACCGAATTTGTATGCCCGTCATGTAAACATTCAGGTCCAGTGTTTCCGCCTACCACAGGTGGTGCAAATTCTTTATGCACTGCAAATGGTGATAAAGAATCGGTATCGTCATCACCATCATTAGATATAGAGATATTGGGTCGTTTGCCTCTTGACCCACGATTAACCAGAGCACTTGATGAAGGTTTATGTCCATTTGAGCTGGCCGAATCAAATTCTCTCATCAGCGAGCAGTTTCAAGGTTAGTTTTTGTGTAATTATGAAACAGGTTGTTTAAGTTGGCTGTTTTGGGGTGTACTACATATGTTTGCGTTCTTCCCCGTTCAGTCAGGCGATATATGGTAGTCACTATAACAACTCTTCGTGTTATTATTTACCAGGGTGATCCCAGAATGTTTTGTGAAATTTACTCCTTCAGAACTTGTCATCTAATACACCTTTGTTGCATCAAGCATCGACCTCACATCACAAGTTACATTGCATTGAACCAGAATCGAAGTTTCAATCTATCAAGAGTATTGACGTAGTTGGTATAATAGGATAACTGATATTGGGGTAAGGCGTTGAGTGTTAGTTAAGGGCGGCAGGTCAATCGATGAGATTGTGAAGCTACCTCGATTAAGATCGCCAGGACATGTGTAATGCATGGCTTGCCATAGCCTTCCTCGATGTGAAATGTGAACTAACTGTTAAGGTTGGAAAAGACCCATTGGTGGTCAAACCAAAACATGAAATCTTCGACAATTAGTTTAAGCTAGCTACGTCGAGAGGTGTAGACTGTCTGACTGATTAGAGTCTTCGAGACTGACAGTAAGAACCAATGACGGCTGGAGACGATTGGCGATATGGCTTAAAGTCGTTCTCAGTGGTGCCGATGCGTTCACTCTTTGTGATCTCCTACATCGATTAAACCCTAATGATTTTTCTACGTCACTATTCTTTCTTCCTCACATTTCAGCTTATTGTAGTACTTCTAAATCGCTTTTTTCTCTCTCTCTTTTTGTCTACCTCTGCGTGCTAAATGGAATGTAGTAACTCGAAATGCTGCCTTTCTGTGCAAAGTTCTATGTCGAAACCAGTCAGTCAGAGCGGGGCTTATCCCAATCCTTAACATCTAACAAAATATGAAGTGATTAGTTACCACTTTCCACTCTGACTAATCTTAACCCTTCTCGCCTAGAAACGTGTTGTCACAGAATAAGTAACACATTATTGCCATTTGAAATGAAAGAGTTTTATGTTATCATGAGTCCACCATCTCGCCTCACCTAATTGAAACTCTACCTACTCCTGGCTTCATTAACAGTACGTATCTTGTCGCTATACCTAAATGACAGAGACACCAATACTCAGAAACTGTCCGCATTATAATGTCTATGTCTTACAGTTACCAGATAGGGCGGAGTGAAGTACTGTAGAGTCGATGCTTCTTTTGATGAATAGTTGTATATCACACAAGAGTACCAAAAATGATTGAACTGGGAAAATGTGAAACAAGCCTCTTGTGTCAGTGCTGTGATTTCGTCAGTAATTAGTCTCTGCTAGTTACTGCTCATTATTATCTGAATACTGGAAATATAAACGTAACATTTCCATAGTAACACAAAGCAATCACCGAAACACTGAAGTTGACCAGGGTTACCTTGTACAAGTCCAATGAAATAAGAAAGGCTGTAGTGTTGGCATTTCTGACCATCACCATTCACAAATTAAATGATTAGTCTTGCTGAGTCATTAGACGACTGCATAAGTTTGCGAGTAGTCAATATTCTACGATTTATGAATAGGGTGGATGTTGAACCCAGAATGACCCGTCCTTTAATTTAACTGCTAAAGTGCCTTTCTATAGAAGGTATGTAGATGTGAATCGTTTATTGGACAGACCCAATTCCGTCCAAAATCATATAAGTCTTACATACAAAGAAGAAAGACTCAACCAGCTTCTATGTCGTAGATATGTTGGTTCAATAAAGCGATCAGTTTATAGGAAGCCCACTTGGGCAGGCAATGTTTAAGTTTTCCCAGCTTCTGTTCACTACAGGACGGGAGAGGGCTTAGTGAAGTGCTTATTCAAATTCAAGAGGATCCACTGTAATTGTACAGCCGGATATTATAGAGGATGAAAATAAAGTAATGATGGATAATCTTGTTGAAAACGGATATCCTTTAAAAAAAAAATTTTAAACCGGTGTAGAAGTTACCTAGTCTTAAAACCTACACTTTTTTTTAACCTTTAAGAAAGACGTCTTCATGCTATTACCATACAATGGGAAAATAATTAGTAGGATTTTGAGACAGAGAATAAACTCGGTCATCCGTAGAGCCGGTTATGCAGTCCGGCTTGTAATCACTTCAGTATAAACCCCGAAAGTGCACAAGTGATTATGTCACATCCCACACTATTTGCCAATTTACTTATGTGTGTGTGTGTGGACACACATGCATAGGGAGGAGTAATCACACTTTGCATGTGCGGGTGGGAGAACATATTCCGAAGTGGTTAGAAAACAGATGAATCGTGAAAAATTGATAGACGCAGTTGGCAGACTACCAACTTCGTCGTCTATAGCTAAACACACACCTAGTCAATATGAACCACAAGATTGCTGTCAAAACAGCTTTTGAGGTTAGTTATAAAAGCGGTCAAGGCCGGTTACTGAAATAGGCTGAGGCGATAGCTATTCGTAAATGTAAGCCCTCACTGTGTGTACAAAAACAATTTGTTATTACTCTTAACTGACCTTAGTAATATTTATCTAATTGGATAAACAAACCTGTTGTTGTTAATTACTCTTATTATAATTAGTGAAGTCGAGACCATGGTAACGAAAGAGATCATACAAATTTTTTTGTACAAAAAGTTCTGGCTTTACATTATATATTGCCAAAGCCTCTGTTATGCAAAGTAAATACAGACTGTCGGACTTTGTAGAATATATTGGAAGATGTAGGAGATGCTGCGTCGTCAGTATCTACCCTCCGACAGATTCTAGAACATAGGAATTCCTACCGGCGTCCAACAGTCATTATATTTCTTGACCTAAAGGCAGCATTCGACTCTGTCGATCGGGAAGTTCTCTGGAGATGCTTGGCTGTAAAGGGAATTCCGAGAAAATATATTGCACTGATTAAGGCACTCTATTCGTACTCATACAGCCAGGTGAGGGCTTACGGCGAGCTGTCATCTGAACTGATGACGACCAGTGGTGTCCGTCAAGGATGCCCATTACTCCTTTTCTATTCAACTTCATCATAGATGTGTTAATGGACTTAACCCTAGGTGACTTCAGCGATTCAGGGATTGACTTGCTACCGGGGAATAATCTCGTTGACTTGGAATATGCAGACGATATAGTCCTTCTAGGCGAAGACGCTGACAAAATGCAGAGTCTTCTAAACACCTTGAACAGCAATCTACGAATGTTTGGCATGCGATTCGCTCCCGCCAAATGCAAGATGATGTTACAGGACTGGACTACATCGACGCCTAGTTTAAAAATAGGAAGTGAAGTGGTAGAGCACGTTGACCGCTTCACTTATTTGGGAAGTACCATCAGCCCCAACGGGCTGATCTCTGACGAAATCTCAGCACGAATACAAGGGGCTCGTTTCGCATTTGTTAGTTTACGCCGTCTCTGGCGTAGACGAGATGTTCGACTATCGACCAAAGGGCGGGTGTACTGCTCATCAGTCCGCTCCGTCCTCCTTTATGGTTGTGAGACCTGGCCACTGAGAGTGGAAGACATGAAAAGACTAGCTGTCTTTGATCATAGGTGCCTGCGCTCTATTTCCCGTGTAAAGTGGCATAATAAGGTGAGCAACATTGAGGTTAGGCGTCGAGTCCTAGGTAAACAGGGGAAATCAATCGACGAAGTCGTGAAGCTACAAAGACTGAGATGGTTAGGACATGTGTTACGTATGCCAAGCCATCGCCTCCCTCGACGAGCTATGTTAGCGGATATAGGGTCAGGCTGGAAAAAAGCTAGCGGCGGTCAAACAAAAACTTGGCCTTACCAGTCAATGAAATCCACAACAGTTGGTCTAAGCCAGTCACGTAGGAAGGTGTAGACTTCCAGGCTGGGGTCCTCGGGACGGCAAAAATCTATGGTTGGAAACAATTGGTGACATGGCTCAAAATCGTTTTCAGTGGCGCAGATGCATCCACTCCCTGTGACTTATGATCTTCAATGAAACTGTTTTGTATTTCTTTATTACTCCTTTGTCTCACCCCTTTGCTCACTGTTTCTATTATGCTTTTCTTGTACTTTCTTCTCTTGCTTCGCGTGCTACACGGAATGTGGCGACTTGAACTTCCGCACATTTGTGCAAAGTTCTATGTCGAAAACATACAGACAGATCTACAATATGCTGCAATATGGATGAATTAACACCCCTACATTTTTCTTTGATCAGTCAAACTTGGGAGGTGCTCTCGAACGCGGCTACAGGATATGTTTCTCGACGAACGTCCTATGTACCTAGCTCCACAAGACTAACTGTCTTTGATCTTAGGTGCCTGCGGTCTACCTCTAGTTTTGGGTGGTATATGTTGAATAATATTGAGGTTAAACGTAGAATGTTAGGTAAGAAGGGAAAATTAATCGATGAGATTGTGAAGCTACATCGATTGAGATTGGTCAGGACGTGTGTTTCGTATACGAAATCGTCGCCTTACTTGACGATCAATGTTAGTTGGTGAAGGAGTTATTGGTGGTCAAACCAAAACGTGATTCATCCATCTCAACGAAATGCTTAATAGTCAGTTTAAGCCACGTCGGGAGGTGTAGACTGTTTGACTGATTTGGGGTCTTCGGGATTGACGGTAAGAACCGATGAAGGCTGGAGACAATTAGTGGTGATATGGCTGGCCCAAAATCGTCCCTGTTAATGATGATGGCGCAGATGCATTCACTCTTTGTGATTTGTCATATTCTCTATAAAGTGCTATTGTTCTTCTTCCACACTTCTGTTTCTCTCTCTCTCTCTCTGTCTGTCTGTCTTTCCTCTGAACCTCTCTTCTGTTGTTTTGTGTGCTACACAGGGAGTGGCAACTGGAACTGGTGCAGATCTGTGCAAAATACCATGTTGAAAGCACTCAAATCTGCCTGTTGGATCTGAGCGGTGTTCAACTATTCATTTCAATCGATCAGTATTATGCAGCAATATACAAAAAAAGCGGAATCTTAATCATCAAAATACTTAATCATGTAATATCGATATTTTTTGAATATTAACAAGATTTCTTGTATTCATTCATACCTAACACAGTACTTTTTCAGTTGCCATTACACTAATAACTCCTAATGGATGCTAATGCCTGTGTGTGTGTGTGTGTCTATCACGAAGATGAATTCAGAAAGTTCTGTTTCTTCTAAGACAAGAAAAAATGCCCAACCTTGTAATGGTAATTTTATTTCTCTATTGTCCGTGTTTATAACTGACAGATTGTTTATACACCATGCAGGAATGAATTCCGTGAGTGTTCTAATTTCAACGCATCGAAATCTATCTAGTTTCAAGGTTATCTCTAATGTTTTGTTTTATAAAAGTATGGTGGTTATTGTTTCTTACACACACACATACGCATAATAAATTCAAAGATCATTTGGCTGTACGCCAAATTCAGTTATGCCTCTACCATTATTATTACTAATACTACCTTTCCCTTCTCTATTACTTTCCCACTCTTCCTTCCCTACTTTGTTTGCTTATGTCTCCCTTTTGTTGTTGTTGTATCTTCGCAATTGTCTTTCGATTCTTTTCCGTTAATCCCCATGACTGGTTTTTTTTAGTTTCCTTTCAAAAGCTATGCGAGTAATACTCTTCATCATTCACACTGGTACCGAGGAAATCCACTCAAATGGGGCATTTACTTTCATTGAAAACTAGCCGGTAATCTCAAGGTAGCCTGCTTAGATCCAGATTTCGCGATTGTTGGAGATTGCGGGTAGGCCCGGATGACGAGTGCCGACAAGCGCCAAACCCAGGTGTAGTCAGGCTTCCCTGCCACTCGCCACCAATCATCTGAAAACGATTTGTATTGTCAAGCTTTACTTCAGTATTAACCTTTTTACGAAAAGACATCAGTTACAGATTGGTTATTGAAGACCACAGAGCACCAGAAAACCGTTTCGTCCCAACCGAGGACTCTTCAAAATTGCGTACCAATGATCCCACCGCGGGTCGAACCACGGGACCTCTATCCTATTCTTATGTCCCCCTAACAGACAAACAGAGTCTGTTGATCATGCCACGATATACAGCAATTTACAAACTTGAATGATAGAAATGAATTCAGTCTCTACACCAAACAAAGAAATAGGCACATAGGTTAACATTGGTTCACATCTTTGACTGCAGCATACGAGGAGGACCCAAGCTCGAATCTCAAAATGGACATGAGTGAGTTCCTCTTCAAGATTGTATATACGCCCTAATGACTGTTTGAGTGCCAACAAGCACGAAAACGATGTTTAGGCATGGCTTCCTGCTGATTGGGTTGTCCTTCTGTCGAATACTGAATTTAATCTAATCGTACGAAGTAGAAATAGTTGAAGTTGGCGTTTTACTTCTGTGGACAAATATTAGATTATAGTGTCTAGTGATCTTTTGTTTTTCACAGCTGTCGGTAATGAAATTTTGGCCCAAGGTGCATTCTGCATATATCTATCTATCTGCATACACTCCACTGGACTCTTCAGTTCCTTGTTACAATTAAAAACAAACATTTCCACCACCAAGTAGTTGGCTTTCATCTGCGTTTTATTACTTAACGTTCTGAGGGGAACACAGGGCTTCAGGCTAGAGCTCTGAAGTTTCTGTACCAGGGGGTGTCTTTATTTTTCCGGGGGGTGGGGTTGCTAGCATCACGCCCAACCCTCCCTGTTTTCCTGTATCTACCTACTACTGGCTAGATTGAGGGTTAGGAGTGAGTCGGCTGAGGAGGATTGAACCCCGGACTTGATACGTGGTTAGCGAGCATTCATTCTACCGCTCCATCACCGACGCACTCCGGTGGTACGTATACCAACAATTTATCACAACATAATTAATTGTTGAATATTCTGGCAATTTTTAGGCTTATTTCGGATGATGAAAGGATAGTATGGTTTAGTTAGGTAGTAAAATATATATGAGTAAAATTCTGTTTGGTTGAAGCATCCTACCATATACTACTGACCGACTGATTGATTGATCGATCGATCGATCAATATGATAGGATCCTCACATCGACTATTAGTGTTTGCTAATTAGATCGAAGTGATCTAAACATCGGACGGCGAATCCGCTCGCTTGCGCCCCCCCCCCCTTTGAAACTGGAATGCAGTGCCAATATCAGTTCAAAGCGTCAAAATGAGCAGTCCACTCAGTCACGATAACCATCTGTTATGTACAACTGAGTATCATTTGTTATTTGTGTAAAAAAGGTATAATTTCATATGCTGTTCCAGTGGAACATAATTGTAATTCTTATAACCTTTTTTGGTGTCACATTTTCTCCTTTATTTTTTTACTGCTTTCATTTTGGCATAGATTCAAACGATACTGGGCTAAAAACTTCAGATGCAGTTATTGTTGCATTCCAAGAGTTGTTCAACAATCTCCTTAAGAAACTTCATGACTGACTGATTTCTTCGTCGCCGGTGCACTGAAGAAACAATAATTCCATTGTACAGAACCTCGATTTTTCTCAGCTAATCAGATTCGTTAGCATTCATTTAATTAAATATATATATTTTTGGAGAGAATTCCCCTTATTTCTACTAATTTCTCGTCGATGTTTACATTCCTGAACACAAGGGTATTTCAAACCAAGAGTTGTGATTAAAAAAGAACCTTTGAAAGCCTTTTGAAAGGGGTACTAGACAGCTTTTTCATTCCACTTCAGGACTCTTAGGGGAGTACACACCGACTACATTATCGGGGATCGAATCCGGCACTTTTAGTCTAGAAGGCAACCCCATTGACCATTATCACTCAACCACTCGGGCAGAATCTAAAGCCTGGTACCTGAGTTCTAACTTCTACTGAAGTTTACGTCAGGTAGCTCACAGTCTATGTCACGAGGTAGCATTTGTCCTCACACCTGACTTGGTGATGAACCCCAATGGGGTCACCGGAGTCCCCCAAACTATGACGAAATAGCTGTTCAGTAGTTCCCTAACTGACGTCTGTCGGCGATGTAACTTTAAACTTTAATCAATTCCGTACAAACCGGCACTAATTGGGATTAGATAATTTTGTGTATTTAGAAGCCTCTGAGTCGACTGAGTTTGATTTTCTTGTAGAGTATGTTTAATTCGACTAGTTTACTAAATCACCTATGAAACTTAAAAGTAACAAATTTATTTTGCTGAGCGGTTGATTTGGCAGATGTAGTCATCGGCTTTATTACACTTGCAGTTGTATGCATTATATCGAAGTTGCTCAATTAACATGAAAACGGGAATTATGTCTACTGTCCAGCAGATTTCAGGAGGAGGTGAATATGTAAATCCCTGTGTGAGTCTTAGGATACAGAGAAGAGTTAGTTTATTGAACTTGAAATAACACAAGTTAACTAAGCGGTGTTGAATGAAGCAAGAACAGTCGTTTGTGTAGAATAAGATGATGGTATCATCATTGTTTATTTCGTCAGCTGAGTGCAGCCTAAAGAAATTATTATTAAGTTTATGTACAGAGGAATTTTTAACAAACTTACAGGTTTTACATGATATCAGTTGACAGGTAACTTAATGAACAGTGCTCAGAGAATTACACTTGTATAGTTTGTATCCGGAGAGTTCAAGTTTAAACAAAAATTGATGGCAAAGGGGTTACGTAATAATGACGAGAGCTGAGTGAGATGATGGATGAGTAACTTATAAATTGGGTAACAATGTACTAAGTTCAACTTAAATCACAGAGGCAAGAAGAATTATAGTATATCAAAGGGGAGGAAGACGTTAAAGAGAAGGATTACATAAACATTCAGTTACCAGGTCAAGGAAAGACTGATAACGGTGTCTTTCTGAACACTTAAACAGATAAACTTGAGGAGAATGGAACTATATTATCTATTGATGATTTTTGAAGGATTTCATAATGTCCACCTCATGAACTGTATCAACAGGATGCTTGACAATAGTAATACTGAATTCATTTGTTTTCTTGGAACGTGGGCTTTTTGACACATGTTCAGAAAATCGAAAATGCGTCCTTCTTCCTGTTGTCCCAATGTAACTGCTACCACAGATACATCTCCTTTCATCAACTGGCACTACGGATATCCAAGTACATATTCTGCCACATCTCCCCTCAAAAGGGTCGGTTGTTCTGGCTACTCCTGTATGCGCCAGCTGGTGACATTCTTGTATCATCTCATGGCGTAGAGCCTGAGGTATGCACGCCAACCAACTTCCATCGTTCTCTCGTCAAGTCAGAGTCCCGTAGGCTTTCACTCCGTAATCGATCTTTCTGTGTGTGAGTAGCGTAGTCAGATCCCTATTCGCCGCGGGTTGATTTACTTCTATTCCGTCAGTAATCACTGTATTCAGGGCGGGGTCTGATTTCTAACTATCGGGCAAGTGTTAATTAATCTTTTTCCAATGCATACAGGCTAACCGGTACAGGTGTAGCTCGTCTCGAACTTGTTACCGACGTGTCTCTACCGAAAATCGAGTGGTGCTTAAGCCACTACTGACTGGTTATTTTATTGATGATAGTAAAATCACTACCATTCTGTCCAATCTATGCAAATTTTGAACATTGATCATAGAAATTAAGATGTATGCAAATGTAAGGCATGCGTACTTTTAGTTAATTTTACTGTGTACATTCATTGAATCAATCAGACAAACGAGACAACACTAGTACTGAATTTTACTGCAACTACTGCCTACAATTTAAACCAACCAATACAGCTTGACTTACACCGAGACGATAATAAAAATATAAACAGCACGGACGCACAAATTCTGACGTCGTCTTGATTAAACATAATATACACAGATAGATGCATAGATGGACAGACGAATAGAATGACTGGCTGACACACACGAAATCTATAAAATAAAGTCTATAATAATAATATTATTATCATTATTTATTGATTTCAGTTAACTGACTCTATCAAACTTTAACATTATTTTGCAAGTAAGCATATACACAGACAGATGGCTAAATTAATGTACAGAGACAGACAAATATAAATGTCCAACAACGAAGGACATGAGACAAAGTACATTAGGCGTGTCTTTTTTTCTCTCTCTCTCTCTCAATTGATTTTCTTATGATGATGACTTTCTTATTCAGGGAAAGAAAAACAATGATAATAATAATAGTCAAACAACTCCTAACTCCCTATCCTAAATCAATCATAGCTTTTTGGCAAGATCCAATATCAGCCAGAGAGATCATTATACACAAAGAAATCTTAAACAGTCAGCATGCACGATCCCACCAGGGGTAGCCCCCCCCTCCACAATCTTCAGGTTACCAGATCGAACTCACTGAAGACTATTCAGCCACTTCAGAAGGGATCCAATGGCCGCCAGTCATGTATTCTAACTTCTGTGAATTCGCGATTTTTTAAGCGCGCAACAACCAACTAGAGTCATCGGTGAGTACATTTCCTCATACTTCACACCAACCTGGAGGACCCTACTAGTTGCGAACTAAGGCGTGAAACATCTTTTCATTACTCCCTACTGGTTTTTACTGGTTCGATGACTGACATCAATCCATGGTCAAAAATAAAATTAATCAAATCCATACAGAGTAACACCTGAAAATTTTGTATTTGCCCTAGATGTTCCGTCTCTGTTCAAATAACGCCTCATAAGTACGAACGTTTCGATGATATCAAAGGATTAAGGCGAATTCATTTCAGTTGGTAGTGACTCCAATTGGAAACCAAGATTCACATAGATGTGCCTACAATCACTAGTGAGTGGTGGTGTTCCCCTGAGACTCTCAACTTTCATTCACCGTTTCAAACACTAAACCATTATCCACAAAACCTCGGTGTGTGAATAAATGTTTCGAAGTATATATATATATATATATATATATATGCTTAAACCAAACAGAATTTTACTCATATATATTTTACTACCTAACTAAACCATACTATCCTTTCATCATCCGAAATAAGCCTAAAAATTGCCAGAATATTCAACAATTAATTATGTTGTGATAAATTGTTGGTATACGTACCACCGGAGTGCGTCGGTGATGGAGCGGTAGAATGAATGCTCGCTAACCACGTATCAAGTCCGGGGTTCAATCCTCCTCAGCCGACTCACTCCTAACCCTCAATCTAGCCAGTAGTAGGTAGATACAGGAAAACAGGGAGGGTTGGGCGTGATGCTAGCAACCCCACCCCCGGAAAAATAAAGACACCCCCTGGTACAGAAACTTCAGAGCTCTAGCCTGAAGCCCTGTGTTCCCCTCAGAACGTTAAGTAATAAAACGCAGATGAAAGCCAACTACTTGGTGGTGGAAATGTTTGTTTTTAATTGTAACAAGGAACTGAAGAGTCCAGTGGAGTGTATGCAGATAGATAGATATATGCAGAATGCACCTTGGGCCAAAATTTCATTACCGACAGCTGTGAAAAACAAAAGATCACTAGACACTATAATCTAATATTTGTCCACAGAAGTAAAACGCCAACTTCAACTATTTCTACTTCGTACGATTAGATTAAATTCAGTATTCGACAGAAGGACAACCCAATCAGCAGGAAGCCATGCCTAAACATCGTTTTCGTGCTTGTTGGCACTCAAACAGTCATTAGGGCGTATATACAATCTTGAAGAGGAACTCACTCATGTCCATTTTGAGATTCGAGCTTGGGTCCTCCTCGTATGCTGCAGTCAAAGATGTGAACCAATGTTAACCTATGTGCCTATTTCTTTGTTTGGTGTAGAGACTGAATTCATTTCTATCATTCAAGTTTGTAAATTGCTGTATATCGTGGCATGATCAACTGACTCTGTTTGTCTGTTAGGGGGATATAAGAATAGGATACAGGTCCGGAATTAGTCAAAGGAGGTTTAAAATGGTCATTAACAAATACACCTTCTCTTGAAGTAAATTTAAACAAAACTTATGCATCACTGTCGAATTCACAGCGCCTAAATGAACAATATGAAATTAGATCGGAAGTAGGTATACATGAGAAGGAACACCTTGTGGAGGGAGAGATATGCATAAATGTGTACACCTGACAACTGATATCCTTGTTGAGAAATCGCATGTCTCGAGTGATCCACAGATAACCATCCATCCTCATGAAGTGATGTTTTTTGTAGAGAAAGTTGAAAGTCACAAGAACTGTAGACTTTTGAAATGCACTCACTCCTTTTCCCCTGATGCGTATAAAATGACTTGTGGATAGATAGACAGTCAGTCATCTGCTTCATTGAACTCTGAAGAAATATCGACCAGTCAAGGAGGAATGATAAATTGTATCCGTTGTACACATTATAAGCAGCATTAATCAATGAATGAATGAATGAATGATGATTGGATTACGAGATTTGTGGGTGGATATTCGGATTAATTTAATCTGAGTAGTTGGATTTTCATCCCCGACTGATCAATATCAACCAACATATGAATAACTAGCTAGCTAGCTAGCCAGTTACCTGTTTTCTTCTATTTTTGAGGATTCCTCAGCTGAATATCTTCCAAATCCAACTCACTGATGGCTCCTAGTTGGATGGATGTTGTGGAGTTGGAGTCGGGAGTGGTGATCATTGGAGTCCATCCAGCATGTCATATCAGTGAAGGTGGAGTGTATTCTCATCGAAGGGATTGTTGATGGAGTGTAGAGCTATATCATGAGTTGATCCAGTTAGAACTCAGGGGTCATTGAATTCT